AAAGGCTTATTTTTTTTTTCTTATGCCAGATTAATTTCACAGGATAAAAATGTCATTTTCAACATAAAGAAGTGGGGAATATTAAGGTCTTCATGCTGGTGGTTTTCATGCTTTAAAAAGCATCAGTGAAATTAATTTAATTGCAGTCATATGCCTCAAACTCCTGATTTGTTGGTGGGTTGTTTTCTTGACATGATCACTAGTCGATTTGAAAGCGTCTATTTGTAAAATACTAGTTACTCCAAATTGCACGGCATACAAAAAATGCTTTTCTGAGCCAAATACAAAGACAGGCTAACAAATAGACTTGCCTAACAAATACTTGTACATTGTGGAGAGCAATACTGCACTGCTCATGCAACGGTGTTTATGAATAGGTATGGTGTTTGTAAAAAGGGAAAATTACATGTATATTTGCTAAAGCCATCATTTTCAGTATGTGTCTTTGACTTAGTACGTGATTTAGGAGTTGTTAACTTTCCAAATAGAGTCCCATATGAAATTATACATTTATTTATGTGTTTATGATGCTCCACCATTTTGGAACAAACTCCTTCATGAAATGTCAACTGCCAAAAACCCCTGTATGTGGTGTTTATCAGCAGAGTCTCACCTTTAATCTCGGTGCGTGTTGCCGTAAGTTCTCCTGCTTCCCACAGTGCATTAGAGAGTGTCCGACTGGCATCTTGTGCGAAGAGAAGGTGCTTCCTGCAGCAGCGGCTGGAGATCTGGATGGTGTTTCAGAGTGTGACGTGGGACTCGGTCCCATCTATGGAATGCTGTTGTGCCCATGTTCTGGACATGCTCTTGTGCTGCCGAGGGCTTCCCTCTAACTTCTTTTTCCTTGGTCTCATGTCAAAGGCTGATGTTGTCATTGTGAGACGATTAATTGATTCTTCTACTTGTCCTTCTTTCTCATCTGGGTGATGTTTTTGGGAAGTATGAGTGTAAATCTCACTCTCAGTGTCCAGGCCTTGACACTGTGTCCAAAAGCACATCTAGGAAGTGCCATGGTTAGCTGGGTTGTTGAGCAGGTGGACCTTGACACTGTTCTAGGTGTGTCCCTATCACAACAAGGCTGATGTATTTTGCCCATTTTGGGAGAGAATAGAATTCCACTAATAATCCTGTTGATTCTGAATGGACATAGGTTGAATCAGGACATAGGGTCATATCATCAAAGCTTTGACACAGGCTATCAAAACCACAGCAGTATAGTTTGTTTTCATGCTTTCTGTGAGTCATCCTATTTTTAATGTTCATTCTACTCCCTATCTCACTCACCTGTCTCTTCAATCTTTCCTTTTTTTTGCTAGAGAAAAAAATCTGATGCAGCAGCGCATGATTACTAGTTTTTTAGTCATACTTGCTTTCTTCTTCAAGACTGACACTAAACAGTGCTCCTCCAGCCCTTGGGTGTGGATTCGGCTTTCAGCAAGCTGTTAATGTTTGAGTGTCCGATAGTTCCCTCCTACAGTATTTTCAAACCTCAGAGTGCCTGCTGCAGCTTTTACCCACGTTACCCTGGGAACTTGGGAGCATCGGTCCGCCAGCTTTTCAGGTTGGCTCCTCATTTGAACCCCTTTTTGGCATGTTCATCAGAGCACTAGAAAGCCATGGCAGGGACTGTAGAGCAGTTTTGAAGTGTTGTTCTTCTTTCCCAGTGAAATGGTCTTTACTGTTGTTTAGCTGAGTTCGCTGTTTGTCTTGTGTTTCTTGAGCTTGTTCTTTTTGTTGTTCTTTGCATTGCTCCTTCCTATCTCAATCTCTGATTTTCACTTCCATAATAACTTGGACAGTTCTTATTTTGCGTGCTGTCTCTTCAGGGTTTAATTTATAGTTTTCCATGTATTCAGCATGTTTGTTATCTTGGACCATTTATATCTCGAGAGGAAAGACGTTTTTGCTGAATTCTCATTTAGGCTTGTCTTAAATCTTATTCCAAGTTTCCTGCATGTTTTACTTGACCTTCCAGAAATGCTGGCAAGATCCTTAAGGATGGACACTCCTGAACTCTGCCAACGGGCTCCTCTTGTTCATCTTCCTCTTCTGCATGCTGACCCCACAGAATGGCTCTTGGTTCCTATTTCCTGAGGATTTCGACTGCTGTAATACTTCATAACATGATCTTCTAGTTAGTAATGATAAAGTTCAAGGTAACTTTTTCACGTCCTTATCCTAATAAAAGTGTGAGTCAAGAAGAAATAAAGCAGGCTTTTCAGGGTTTGAGCAGCAGGACTGCAAAAAGCCCATTTCAAGGAAATGAGGTTTGTGCATGTGATCTTGCTGCTCCGTCTGATGACTTTGATCTCGTTAGATGATTTTGACCAAGTTTTACAGTGAGTTTAGCAAATCTGAGGAATGTGTAGTTCTTGTAAAAATTAAAAGTAAAGGAAAAATAGCTCCGCAGCACTGGGGAAGAGGTTCTCCTCCTTTCTGGTTTGGGTAGCAGCCATTATAACCTGTTGGTGTGTGTTCTAGCTGGTCGACACACAGGCCTATCTCTGAGTCAGCTCACAGAGCTGTTTCCTCACCCAAACAAGAAGGCGATGTGTGGGAGATATGGAAGTATGAGAACAACCAGCCTGAAGAAGAGAAAGTAGTGGATTTGAGTGGGAAGGATGAATCTGTAGAGACAATCTTCGATAGTCCTGCCACGCACAAGTCAGTTGTCACGTTATTTTTATTGATGCATTTCTATGAATGCCTCAGATGAATAAACATGGTTAGCGATGTGTGGGGTGCTCTAACTACCTACTAACCTGTGCATCACATATCAAAGAACAGAAATCACAAATGTGAAGATTCTCCTCTTAGAAGTGATGTTTTGTTTCCTTTCTGTATTCGCATGAGACACGCTCACAGGATATGTGACATCCCCTTTCGGTTTTCTAGTTCTCTTACTGAGTCTAGTTTTCTGTTTCAGTTCTAAGCTGATACATGGCCTCTGTTAAGGTGCTTGCTTTTCTAGGATTTACTCTTCTTAAATCTCTTTTATTTCCAAATCTTCCAGCTTATGATATTTTTGTTCTACAGTATGACCTTTGGGTTTTTCATCATGGTTCTTCTGACTAGGAACCACAGTCTGTTACTTTTGAGATGTAATTACTTCTTATTCCACTTGCACTTTATGTGGTTAGTCTTGGGACTGCCAACGCTGTTTTCAGCCCCAAAAGTTTTGCTGTTGATTGATGCTGTTCACATTTGTTCTGTCTGTTAGATGTCTGGACCACTTGCCTCTGGATCATGTACAAGTGACTGCTTTCTTCATCCTGGTCAGCATCTCTCTGCCCTGTACAAATGCTTGTCCTGTCATCTTAATGGCTGTTTACCACAAAATAAGAGTCAGATCTCTCCGTGTCTGTCTTTTTCCGCGGTTAGGGATTGTGCTTTGGATGCTCTGAATCTGTAGGAACTTTCAGATGGTTTCCTCACGTATCCTGTTGATGTTTGTGCTGCCTTCCAGCACCTGTTAGAAATTGGTTTCCTGGATCTCCTTTCTCCCCAAGCCTTCCCCCAGTACACTTTGTGCTGGTGTGACTGACAGCTGTAATGGTGCGACGGCCTGTGCCAGCGTTTGATGTGCCTGGGTTACGACTTTAACGAGCAAATGTGATCGGGCAGTTCTTCTCTGTCTGTCAGCTGGTGGGACATCCGAGTGCAGAGCTTTGACATCAAGTGCAGTCCGCGTTCAGCTTCTTGCTTCTTCAGCTTCTTTTTGCCACTTGTCTCAGCAAGACAGACAACATCACTGTTTTCCTGAATGGCCCGTGATGACACGTGTTCAGTCTTTTGTCACTAGGAGCATATGTGTGGTTTTGGTGCCGAAAACCTCTGAGGGCTTTTCTCTCTCTGCGCAGACATGGCCCCTTGCGCTGCCTCGTCCTTCAGGCAGCACCGCATGGTCCTCAGCCCGTGGCGGCAATCCTTCTGTCTGCTTTATCAATATTATTTCAAAGGGTTTTGGAAGGATTTTTTTTAAATGTTGCACATCGTTAAGGTATTTGCATTAACTCCACGCTTGACTTTCCTACGCTGGAACAGGAGGGACTAGTATTGCCTGAGTAGCATTGGCTGGGAGATGCAGGCATATGTCTATTAAGGATGAGCTGCCAAGATGTTAATAAAAAGGAAATGGGAAGGTGAATTCCAAAGCTGTTGTTTTATAGTCTTTAGTGATGTCATTAGTATTCATAAACCTTCAGCTAGATTGAGGATGTGTACATCTTCTGAGCATATTTGTGATAGTTTTACAGAAGATACATAGAAGTGTTTTTTGACTGAGTATTTAAATTGTGGCTTTTTTATAGATTTTACTGTCTATTTAAAACAGGCTTCAGAATTTATCTCACAAGTCCATTGATTAGAAATCAGTTTGTCTGTTCGTTTCCAAATATCTATAGCACGCTGAACTTAGCATGCTACTTGCATTAGGAATAAAGACCTAACCTGACAGCGGACCTGACTGGAGAAATGAATGGAAACTCTGAAAGGTATTTCAGATCAAACATATAAACACTTGCAGCCTGTTAGAGCAATAATTTTCATTTGCTGTTATGCACTGTAAAACATTTCCTCCCGGAGTAATTTGAATATAAGTGGTGTTTCCTGTAAGGAGCGGGTTTTTTGTTTCATTGGTTTTGGATTTTTTTGAGAACCATTATAACTTGATTTGTTTTTCTCCTGATAAAGTCTAACAGTAGTCCAGTGTGAAACTGGATTGCGTTTGCCCTTAAAAAAGGAAAGACCTTAGAGTCCTCAGTGCGTTGTCAGTACACGCTGGTTTTGTATGACCTCCGTGTACGTATTTGGGGCTTCAGTTATTGTCAGAGAAGCTTTAGAAGAAGATGTGACTGGCAGGGTTATTATATTTTACAAGTCTGCACACTGATAAACTGGATAGGGACTATGAATGGGTATGAAAGGCTCTGTTCTCAGGTAGGAATTTCTGAATATGTGCTCTGATTATTATATTCTCTTTGTTTCCCCTCTTCCAGGTATTCACTTACAAACAGAGCACAATCACACACCAAAAAGTAACGCCTATGCATCAAACAAGCACAGAGAGCGTGGAAGACATGGCAGCACTCGTAGATCTCCATGAAGGCTCCATTATGCACAACTTATTCCAGCGATATCAACAAGATAAAATTTACGTAAGTTTCTCCTAAAATTAAGAAAAATATCCAGAGGGAATGGTTTTGAATGTTTGAGTGCTGTGTGTGTTTTGCTGTTCTGTGGTTATCTCCCCCACTAATGTTCTCCAGTTGTTTGTGTATCCACATAGAGCTGAAGCGTGCCTCATCTAGTGACTTCTCGCCAACAACAATGGAAGGAGAAGGTAGCTCAGGGCTGACCAGGCAATCCCTTGGAAGCCTTGAAAAACTGGGATGCTACGTATGTTTTTACTCTTCCAGTGACAGAGTTGTGTAAAGGGCTCTTGTTTTTATCTTCTCCTTTAAACTCTCTGCCCCAACAACATGTGCTGTGTATGTCACCAGAGAGGACGTGCTGGGATTTAGTCTGTGACTGCTGTTTGAGATCACGTCAGGCCAAGATCCAATTCCGATCAACTTCCCCTTTTCTCTTGTAGTACAAAGGGGATGGTATTAACGATTGTCAAGCTGAGGACCTGTGTTAAATACAGATAGTCAGAGTTTGGAGTGTATGAGAACAGGCATCTGTTTATCAGTTTCAAAACCTAGGAATTAGTCCATGCAGATTTTTTTTTTTCTCAGCTCTGCAATGAAGATTTTTGTGATTAGACTTACCTGCTCTTTAAATATTTTCGTTAATCTTGAACTGACTAGATATGAATCTTTCCTGAATCTGGAACTACAATAAATGTAAGAAGGAGGCAAGGAATATTAGTAGCTATTACAAATTGTGAAATCTCATGGTTCAGTGGTTGGTGTGTGGGGGTTTTTTTTAATTAATAATTGCAGAACATAATAATTTTTCTTTGTATCACATGTCTAGGCTTTATTTCAAGCTTCATCGATTAAGTTTTGCTTCTTTATTTTTAAACATGAATATATCTTAATGTAAAAATAAACTTTCCTTGTATTTAGAAATTTCTTTATGATAAAAAGCAAAAAAGGACACAAGGAAATTATGTTCCTTTGCACATTACTTTTAAAGAGCTAGTACAGGGGATGCTAAATGTTGAGGTAGTTCTCTTTACAGAAGTCTTTTGTGTATGTTTTTTTTTCCTCAAAACAAATGAACCATTTTGCCTTTTAGTAAACAATCAGTAAACAAAAAATGAACAGCATATGTGAATAATCCTGCACGTGTATGGGGGAAAAATAGCTACTTGATAAAAATAGCTACTTGATAAGAGTTTAGTTTTCCACCAGTGTTACAGATTCGGATGTAATACTCAGTGTGAGTCAACTTAAAAAAAAATGTTTGCTGAGTCATTATGCGTACTTGGATGGAGGGCACTTCACCCTTTTAAAAAGCATGTGTGTAAAAGAGGGTGATTTTTTGAAGAGATAAAGAATAGCCTTATTCTGAAGAGACATGTCCTAGCTTATTTCTTAGCTTGTCAAGGCAAGTGTAGGGTATTTTGATACTTGGTTCTCAGTATGATGTACATTTCTAGACAAACAGGTTTGTGTGCTGTTAATGATGACAGATCTTCAGTTACTGCTGAATACTCATTGTCCCTTCAGTTCTGCTAATTTTACTGCTTACTCTTTGAGTCTACCTCACATGAAAAATGATTGAAAAGGTGGTCAGGGAAAAAAGATGTGTTTTGGAATGCATATGAAAGCCTCTCTATTGTCCTATGTATGTAGCCAGGACCTGATGTAAAAAGCATCATCTTTTCTTTCTCCTCATTGTTACCCTATTCCTGATGTGCCAGTGGTAGTGTTTTGGCAGGACAGGGCTCTAGGAATGGAAACTCCCAAGAAAAGAAGATTAAATAGCTTAAATAATTTTATGAAACTTCATAGATCTATGAGCTTGTGTTGTAGGAGGAGGTGTTGTCATTGCAAAATGAACCATGTCTTTTCAAGCCAAAGTCTCTTAACAGTATTGAACAGCTCAACAATATTTTAATGTTTGGTGTTAAAGAAAAAAAAATTTTGAAAGGTGTATTAAGTATACCTTTAATGAAGGCATATTTGGAGCTGAAGAAATTAGGTTCCTAGTCATTCTGCTTTGAGGCCAGACTAGTTCTGTACAGGACAGTAGAAGCCATTGGAGTTCATGCCAGGAGCCATCAAAACTTTCCAGATTGTACATTTCCTTCTCCCTTCCCTCTAGAAAGTCCTCTCCCTTGGCCAGGAATTGCTTCATCAGTGTTGTGCACATACTGTCTCCTGTACCTGCCTTGGTACTTTGGCTGTATCTGTCCTTTTCACTTAGGGATAAATTGGGAAGGCATGTGCCCCTCTCTGCTCTGAGCTTAGGGCCTGATCGTCCCATTGAAAGACTTCTTGCCATCCCTGAAGGTAAACCACCATATAATTGCATGTCCTGGCTTTTAGCTTACAGATCCCTCTTCACTTCAGCTCGGTGCACTTCCTTGTCCACGTCCTGAGTAGAGTGGAAAAGATACACAAAGGTGTATGCTTGCATTTTTTGTTATGTGCTTGTAGTATTACAAGCATATTAGTGTGGTCCTTGAGTCTGGCAGCTTTTTGTTAGTTTTCTCAGTGGCAGTGAGGCCAGGAAGCACCTTTGTACCCTTAATGAGGAATGCACTTAGTTGCGATGCAAGTTTTGAGGCTTGCTTCTTCACACAAACTCACAAAATTATATGAAGTGCAATATACTAAATTGTAGTCTATATAAAACTTCAAAAATACAGAAGGAACCATTAAAAAGAAATCTAAACAGTTGCTTTCTCATGAAGGCAATTATTTATGCAAATCTTCCACTGTTAACTTGTGTGTTTATCCGCAGAGCTGTCTTCCCAGCAATGAGCATTTGAGTAAATATCTTCAGATGTTTGAGTTCAGTTTAATCTTCCTTTGTTTAAGAACATTTTTGTCTCACATAATCATACCTGTGTTCTTAAGCTCCTCGCTACTTCCTAATTAATACTATAAAGATAATTGCTATGTATGCCGAGTTTTGGCAAACATGTCAGGGACTTTCTTGGCTGCTGCCAACAACTCTGGCTGTGAAGGATCAGCAGAGGATTTTCTATATTTCTTACTGGTTTCCTGATTGATACTGCTAAAAGTTTACTTCTGGGCTGTCATCACTTTTGTTGTCCAGGGAAGGAGCAGAGTTAGGATGGCATGATCATACGTTGCAGGATTTTTCCTTGCTGCTTTTCTCCTCATTTTACTTTGTCTGGAACAACTTCATATGGGAGGTCCAGCTTCTGGGCTTTGGCGTAGGAGGATTGATGCCCGTCTTTGAAGGCTCAGATTAGCTTGTGTGCTAGGCTGGTATGTGGCAGAACATGGAAAGATAAACACCAGTGCTAAAAGCAGAAGGTGCCCGCGGTTGGAAGCGGAGCCTTTTGTGAAGGCGGACGAGGGATTTGGTCGCCTCTGAAGCAAGGCCAGCACAGGGCATGCGATGTGGAGCGGGGAAGTGCTGCGACAGCCGTTCTTGTCGCTCTTCAAAGGCGAGTTGTTCCCAAAGCTGTTGACTCTGGTTTACTTTTAGTTAAGTACACATTGCAGAGGGGACAGGCTTAGCCTTGGGGAGGATGCTGTAAACCGCACCGCGTGGATTGTGCTGCAAGACGACAAATTACGATGTTCGAGCTGGCTCCAGGGTGACCTGCGGTCGTCTTGCCTCTGCGGCCAGCAGTGAGTTACTGATGCAGGCGAGCGAATTTCAGAAAAGCAGATCAGAGGATTAGAAAGCAGCTTTAGCTGAGGTGAGAAGCAGGTTGGAAATAACTGCAGTATACATTGTGCAGGTCAGTATGGAGGTTTTCGTGTCAGATCCACCCTCGTTTGCCTGAGTTCAAGCAAATAAACAAGTTTCAAAGCACATCTGGTTAGTTATTTTCCTTTAGAATTAAGCTCTGAAGTGCCAGGTAGGCACGTTCCCCTTTGAAGTGGTGATGATTTGACGTGTGCCCATCTTGTTGAGGTGGAAAACATGTCTCTGTGCCCAGGGAGGCATGCTGCATAGGTTGGGGTGTGGCGGTCCCTTGGCCGCCCTCTCCTGAATGGGAGAATGGCCTTCAGGTTATCCAGCAGTTGGGTGTGGTGGCCATGAAGGGTGAGAGAGAACAAAACCTGATTTTGCTCACTTTCAAATTAGGACTGCAGCTTGCCTGCCAATAATTACAACTATCTGTTACGTTTGTGTGCATCTGTATAAAAACTTCCGTACCAGCCACGTAGACATGCAGTGCTGTACCAGCCACATCCACATCAGAGGGAGGAGGATGGTAATTAGGAGCTCAGTTTTTGTGGCTGGCTTTCTTTCTCTCTTCAGCTCAAGCAACAGACATGGAATAACTCTGATGAGAAAGCAAAGTTTCTCCGATTTTTAAAAAAGATGGTAAACTGGAAAAGTTGTCTCTTCCCTGACAAGGTTATTTGCAGAGCTCCTAGCCACTTCATTACACTGAATGCTCAGTTATCTGTTCTTAAAAGGTATATTCAGTTATTTATGCATCGATTTTTAAATCTATTTGTGTTTATTTACTTTAGCAGCATGTTCAGTGGTAGTTTGTTAAACTTGCAATAATTAGATAATTTATCTCCCTCGAAATCATGAGGGTGCCCTGAGGCCACTAACTGATGTTTGTGCAGTATTAATCAATAATCACTGTCAGGATTTTTCAAATTCAGTTTGCAGACACAGACACTTTAGTATCTAGGTCAGTTGCTCTCTGTGACTTGTTTATCTAGGTTTTTGTGTATTCGTTTTTTCTGAGTACAGTAAAACTCATTTCAGATCCAGTGCAGTTGCTCTGTGCCATGTTATGATGGTCAGCAGGAATGTTACAGTGAGAAAATAGCAGGGCATACTGAAGTCATGGTTAATTAAATACAGACAAACAGACATAATTCATACACTTTGAAAGCACTCCTAGTCAGATGTCCTCTACCATGGACACAAGTTGTAGGTGGAGGCAAAAAGACAAAGGAAGATCAGTAGAAGACAACAGGCCCAAAGTGTTTGCTTATAAAGACAAAAGCTGTCATAACGGATTTCTTGAACAGAA